GCTTGTCAATCTTGCCCCAAAACCCAGGTGAAGACAAACTCTCCCATAGCTTTCAACTAAGGCACATTGACCTTGCCTATCTTATATCCCCAGTCCATTGTTCATCTCATGCAAAACCAACAGTCTCTACTAGATTTTTATAGCAAGGAAGCCCTCATAACTTTGTATTAAGGTAACAATCATGCTTTCAACATAGTGAAGGCAAAGGTAAGACCAAGAATCTCAAAGTGTTTAAAAACATCCTCATCTGAGAGTTTAAAAATCCAAAGTTGATACCAGCCCCTCTGCTCTTGGCCCCATCTCTCATGCACCGGACTGTATCTTCTTTCTGGCAGTAATGTGAATCTGAGAAAGAACAAAGACAACTTACATCCTGCCTCGCATTGCTTTGGCTTTTTGCTCCTCTTCAAGGTTTCTTGGGGGAGTGGAAGGCGTCATCCCTTCATTTAAGCAGCCAGTGGCATCTTTTAAGCTTCCTCGATAAGATCCTCCTTCTAGGGTCTAAAGGAAACCAAACAACCCGAAGCATTATGGAACAAGCATCGTCCTTGAACTCCAATGCTGGAGTTATCCTCTGTTTCAAGTCAACTTGGCAATAGAGAAGAACAAAAAAGCCTCAAATGAACTGGAATAGTCAGTAATGCTTTCCTTTAGGTTTAGCCAAAAAAAACCCCAAACCTGAATGTTGTTATATTTTAAGCTGACTGGGGGAGCAGTAAAACCCTCAGCATGATCACTGTAAGAGGACAAAGTATTCACCCTTATGCAGAGATGGAAAAAGTTATTTTAATTATATTGAAAGAAGTCAGAACAAAGAGAAAGCTTTTGTTGCCCTTCAAAGTGTGAAAAAACTAAACTATACCTGCTTTGTTGGAGATTAAAATGGAGACTCCCTTCAGTAAAGCATCCAAGACTTCCCAAAAGTGGATACATGGTTAGTTATATTTCCAGAATAGGTGTTTAAAAGTTGCTCTGAAACCCATGAAAAATAACTGAGGATGCACTATGCAAGCATGTGTGGAATGGTTTGGGAATAAAGATTTTCTCAGAACGGCTTTTAGTAGTGCTAGAAGGCAGAGCAGATTTGCACCTGATACACTAGCTCGGATATATATAGCATGAGCTTTCATGAACCCGAGCTCCCTTCATCAGATGCTGTAGCAGGTCTTTAAGGAGCAAATCTACCTTGCCTTCTGTTTGACTTGAGACTAACATAGCTAACTACCTCTTTCTAGTAGTGCCAGTCACTTTTAATTTTGTCACCTCACTAACACTGAGTCACAACAGGCTCACTTCATTATCTAGAAGGTACAACCCTGTCGATATTTCCCCCAGCTAGACAGCATCCTTTGTCTGGAGATCTCAGACTGAGCTTTAAAGCCCAGTGACTCAGTGGGATCACCTTACCAGGGAAAGATGCTTTCACTAATTCACAAGCATCCCAGCACGCCTTTATTCTCCATATCCTTAAAACAAAGGCAAGGAAATGAACCTTTTTATGCTTGCCATGGATCTGCTTCGATTCCCCTTTTTCAATGAGCTTAAACCAAGCATTTGCCTGAATTTAGACATCCTAAATTTCAAATAGACTAGCATTTTTAATTGTTTCAGGGAACAATTCAAAGGAAGCCAATCAAGAATTACTCCTTCTAGACCATAGGCAGCAGCCCCCCCACAAAGGAAGATCAGGAATTACACCACGACCTAACGCATACGGTGAATCCTGCACCTGTTCATAGGGTTGATGTAGATGACCCTTGAGGTCCCTTCCGATCTTATATTTTCTATATCTAGGAGGTTAAGCTGTTTTCCTATTTAGGAGTACTGTTTAAAGACTTGAGTCACAAGTGACAGATGCCTTGGGTAGCTAAGTTAAACTGTCGGCATGGGGGATTCTGATAAATAAAGGTACTTTTTTCTTAATACAATGCAAATGTGGAAGTTCATTCTGAAGAACGACTCAGATTCCAGAGTATATATGAAACTCTATCATGCCAGGTAGCTCAAAAACCACAATGCTTTGAAAATTTAAAAAAAATTGGAGACTTCTGGAGGTGGAGTCTACATGACACCATCAACTGCATTTCACTCTTTGCTGACAGAGCTACTCAGATGAGCTACAGTGGCTAAGAGTTAATAAGTACGTAGAAGGGAAAGGATGCAGAGCAAGGAAACAGAAGTCAAGGCAGACAGTGCTGTGTTCATGCTACAGAAGCAAGTTATGCCTATTCCACACACAGTTTCCAAGGCACTACACTTACCAGCTTACTTTTGACCAACTTTTCTATTGCACTGACAAGATCCGCAGCAGTTGGCACATCGGAGGAGCTCTGACGAGCAGCTAGCAAAGAGGAGGACTGCAAGACACCAGTTTGCAAAGGAAAAAGCAGGTTAGCAGGATGTGAAGGGACTAGGAAAAAGTGACCAAACCGGCCATCAGTGAGGTTATGTTTGGGAAAGAAGCAGGGAGAACATGGCACACAGGTGAATGCGTTAAACGATCACATGCAAGTCAGTCGTCGCCAGACCAGAACTGGAACTGGCATTGCGGCTGGGGTCGAGCGCAGGGGTTCGAGTTAGTGGGTAGCGTGACATTGTTAGGTACAAGAGTGAGAGTTTGACAAAACAAGCATCTGTGCCCATCTTACGTACAAGCCACATACTCCTGGTTCTTGTTTTCCCCCCCCCACCCAGGCACCTTTCCAGCTGAGAGGCAGGAAAGCACCCAAAGACACCCAGGACTGAAAACCAACCCTTCCAAAAGTGAAGGGCAGTCATGAACCCTCCTCCTGGGGAAAGGACATAGGCCCCTTGTGCTAAGCGCCCCCACCCCTCTTAAGAGACCGAGGCAGTCAGGGCTGCCTTGAATAAAACAACAGCACCACCACGCATTTTTACGCAGATCACAGAGCAAGAACTAGACACAGAGCGCCTGGCTTTTACTCCCAGCCCTTTCCTACTTAAAACCTTTCGCCTCCTTACAGACACCTGTTTGCACACAGCCTCCCCTACCCTGTGCTCAGAGTCAGTAGCGAGCCTTGCAATGTGTGCAGGATCGCTGCCGGCCCATTTTACTTCTCAGTATGCTATATCTCATCGAACCCAGCCAGGAGTTGAGATGGGTCATTTTCATTTCTTCCCACATGCTTAGCTCCATTCTGAACAGTTGGTTTGCGCCACTGTGACGTGGTTTTATTTTAAGGTGAGAGGCACAGGGGACATAAGAGTCATGGCAGCATTTCCCTTCATGGTAGGGTTTGCAAATTTAGGGGCCAGGATTTCAGTAGCCCAGTCTACATTCAGTTAGCAAAAATATAAGTGACATGCTCCAATTGTCAGGGTGAACATCAACAATTGAGCAAAAACGGTAGCTGTTCTGAGCTTCCCGCATCTTTGAACACAGGGTCACATGATTGCCCAAACACGGCTCATAGGATTGTAAAGAGGCAATGACCATTGGAAAAATGCAGCCTCATTTTGTAAAAGTCCACATGCCAGCTTTGTTACTCTTTCTTGAAAGCTGCATTGATCTTTGGTCTCAGAAAGTCTCCTCTGAAAAGAAGTAAGGGGGACTATGGTTTATATTTCTGGAAAATAGATACATATTAGCTCATCTGAAAAAAATATTCTATATAATGTAATATATTATACACATATACATATAAATATACACGTACATACATACGCACATATATAAATAATATATAATAATAATAATATAGTATTATATTATATATATGGTTCTTGTCAGCTGAAGAAAAGTGCAAACTGAATCTTTGAGCCTCTTGGTAATTGGCTCCCTGCATGCTTTAATAGCAACGAGACTGCAAACAATTGCTTTAAAAAAAAAAAAAAAAAAGCTATTCCACTACAATTATGAAAGGCTTTTTCATCTCTCAATCACTTAATAAAGGCTTACAGCTTTTGGACAGAGAAGGGCGTCTTCTTCAGGGAAGTCTCTAAGCAAGCACTGATGAATGAACACTGGAGATTAAGAAGTGCGGGTGACGGAGTCCGGGAAGAAGTGACAGTGGAAATTGGGCAATCGGCCATCTCATTAAACAACCTACCGTGCCAGTCAGAGCTGGCAGGTGAGGGCTGGCTGTGGCTGAATGCCGCAGCATCAGGACGAAGGTTAGGAGACTAATCCTGTCCAGTTTAGGGCAGTTCAGAATATGCAAACACATTGCCACTGCTTTCGCCCAAATGATGCATCTAATCAACAGCTTTAATTAAAAGCAGTTACAGTTCATCAGGCTGGCCCTTTACCATTCAACACAGAAGCTGATTTCAGAATGCAGCAATTTTTCATAAGAATTTAAAGGCCGGGATTGTGAAGCTGCCAGGTGAGCGAGCGGCATCATCTCTAGCAAAAGTTAACCGACAAGCGTGGCTTTGAAGAGTGAAACTAGATGAATGCTTAGCCTGCAAGTTTCAAAGTCAAGCACCTAAATAAAATGTAGGCTGGTTGTCAGGAGGTGCTAACCCCTTCTAACTCCCACTTACTTTAACCAGAGTCAGTCAACCCCACTAAAGAGACAGCAGGACAGCAGATCAGAGAACTAAACAGATTTTAGGCAGCTGAGTTGGAAAGCAAATCTTGCATTTATATTGTTTGGCATCTTCCAAACCCTGTATAGACATTTATAGAGTGTAGGTGAAGTGAGAGCTGGAAGCGGGGAAAGCATTTGTGCCAGCACTGGAACTTTTCAAGTGGTTTTGCAAACGTCTCTCTCCCTTGAAGTCTTGATATAAAATCCAAGTTATTGTGCAAGTCTTCAAGCTCCAAGTTAAAAAGTCCAATTAATCCTGGTGTATGTTTATAGGGACATAATAAGTGGTGACAGAGTTCTCCATCCCCCCCATGTTGGGTAGATTATACAGCCCTGTTACCTTAGTAAAACTTTACCACAGTCAGGCTGTTTCCCTCTACAACACCCCTGCGAGGCTGAGAAGTATTATTCCAATTTTACAGATGGAGACTGTAGGCAAAGAAACATTAAGGGACAGATTCTGTTCCATCTCTTAACTGTTCAAGTCAAACTTCAACATCGAAGTCTGATTCTACTCCACCCTGCTCCAGTTTCTGGGTTTGTTTTAAAAGGTCAAGAGTAAGGGGCGTTACAGAAGTAATGGTTTCTCAGGGACTCAAGAAAGGTGGAACAACACCATTCCTAGATGCCTGGATACCCTAGGACCCAGCCCGAAGTTACTGGAAGTCTACGGAAGAGCAGGAGACTGGAACCAAGTTCTCTCAGTTTTCACATTAGTGCTTTAACTGTCGGACATTAACCACTTCTTCACAAGAGGCTGGCTCTCAAGACAGAGGAAATCTTCCCTGGCCGGCAAATCTGCGTAATGCTCAAAGGAGTCAGAAATCCAAGGCCTCTAGGCCCCTTAAATCAAGCTAATTTTTTTTGCAATTTCTCAGTGGGTCTAATAAAATGGTATCATTTCTGAACCAAGAGTTCTAGATTTTTGCATTTCTTTAAATCAAGATAAGCAGTTGAGAGCGGGAATGCTTTCTGCCAATGCAAATGGGGAATGAGCAAGGGGACACACGCTCCAACCAGCATGTTTTGAACGTTCGTTTCTGAGTTCAATGGCTGCAAGTTTGAATTCAAGCCCAGCGGACTATTTGTGAGGGGCCCAGGTAGGGCTCCCCCTGTCCAACCTTCTTCTTTGGGATCAGAGAAGGGAACAGGATGTCAGACGGCTTTGTAAAACTTAGCTACCTTCAGAAGGAAAAAAACCTGAACACCCAAAAACCCAAATGCAAAATATTTATCTTGGCAAAATACCCAAATTGCCTGCATGTCAGGCATCAAAAATGGAGACTAGGAACCGTATAAAGAAAAAAACAATATCTGAATGCTGCAGTGAACCAGACAGGGGCAATGTACTATTATACTTGGCAAGGAACTGCTGGTTCTTGGTTTCTCCAACCCTTCCTCTCTTCATCCAGCCAGCCGTGTACTGTATGCAACACTTAGAGGTCAAGTGTGCATGACTTCAGCAGCTGCCTTCAGCCCTTCCTGCCACCAAGCTGTTATGATACCCCCTGACAGGCTAAAAAAGCTTTCCCTGAAGCTACCTTTCGCATCCTGGATCTCTGCACTGGCTGGCAGGCAGGCAGATCTTTGCTGCTGCCCTATATCCCGAGGCTCCCACCTTAACTCAACCCTTGGAGCAAGCAGCATTTTTGTGAGAGGGTTTCTTGCCGTCCCCTATTCTTGCCTCTCTCCATACAGCAATTACAGCGAGAGCCCATGGGGACAGAAGTGCAGAGCAATATTGGAGTTGGCAAGGGAGATAAAGGAAGCAGCTAATGCAATGATGGATTTGCACAAGTGTGTTAAACTCAGGAAAAAGGAAGACAGATCTGTAGATCAGATAGGCAACTAACAGCGAACACAACAAGCATCTGCAGGCTGCCTTCAGAAGCTGGAGTCTGTCTTTTCACTTCAGCTCAAAAGCAATAACATTTGAGCATCGGCCCTAAACACCATTACATGCAGGGAAAGAAAGGCCTGCAGATAAGTAACCATAAACTTAGAGCCCAGTTTCCAGATACAGGCACCTTAGGGTTCTGGATTTGGGCGATTAAAAATTGATATTTAGTCACCTGCGTGCTCTGTTGGATACTCAGTGGTCCATGTGGCTACTTTAAGACAGCTGAGCCTGAAAGCTGGATGCAAAACCGGGAGAGAAGAGCAGAAAAGGAAAACTATTTGTTACCTAGTAGGCTTTTACCACTGGCAAGGGGCGAGAGCGTGAAAAAAAAAAGTCTTTACCACTTGTATGCAGCTGAGCACTTAGTTCCAGGTAAGTTGTTCCTATGGGGTTTCCAAGAGGAGTTGGCAATGCATTGTGACAGGAGAGCAAAGCGCACCCACATATGATAAGCCGGTGTTTCAAATCCCTATTGCAGAAGTGGAAAGATAGGAAGGGACTTGCTAAGGGAACCCTGGAAGGCAACTGAGACTCAAGAATAGTGCCCAGGCCTCCTGACACTCATCTTTTTTAATTTCATACATTTGTATTACATGATGTTTTTCGGAGTCACTCAACTCAAGAAGTCCCCAAGGAGCATGTGTATTCCTACTGCCAGATATCAAGGACACTTGTGAAACATAGCAACATGGAAGTAATAGGAAGGTCAACTAAAATTGCCTCATTTTAGTCTAGTTTATTATAAAGGAGTGAAACCTAGATATATAAAAACACAAGAAGTGCCCATATGGTCCACAGCGTTGAATCCAAAGTAGAAGACCATTACTTAATGCTATTCAGTGAGGTGTTCTGGACACCAGTCTCCACTAGGCTATAAACATCTATTATAATCGTGTGGTCAGCCCGAGGTTATGGGGAAACTTATTCACTGTAAATGCCGTATTCAAACAAATGTAGCCCAGTCATCTTGGAAATAAAAATCAGCCAGCAAACGGGTATAGTACATGACGTCTTACCATCTCATCCTGTGCAGGGTCATTATCAAAAATCTTCATCGGAGGGGGGAGTGGTGTGTGCGATTCTTCATCTGGTTCATCTTCTCCCCAACCTTTCTTGCTCTTCTGAAGGCAAGGCCAACATCATTAGACAAAAGGGAGGGAACAACTTCTTTCCATACAAGCAGAGCCTAGTTATCTAGATTTCTGTTTAATTATAATACCATGGATGTTTTAACTTAGGGATGGAGGGTGGTGGGGGGGAACAGTATGAATAAGACTGCTTGTCCTGGAGGAGAAGATACGGGAAGTTGCACTGAACAGTTTTTTGCTATTAGAAGGTATTAGTTGTGGTGTATAAGAGCAAAAAAATGTACAAATGTTAAGATAATTTGTTAAATTATATAATAAAATTTAATCCACCAAAAGGGATTTAAGATCTCCATATCTGTCTTATTGCCTAACAACAAGCTCTTTTTCCAACTCTAAAAGCTATCAGTTACATTGAATTATTTTAAGTCTCCTGTTTTCCCACACATTCAAGTTTTGCAACCTCTATTTTCCATTCAGCTTATCTGACAAGGACCATCATTAAAAAAAGAAAGAAAGGGGGTAGGTCTTGTAAGGAATGTGCCCAGAGGGTAATTATGGTCATTACTACTACACATGGTTAACATATTTAATAGCTATATAAATCTTTACAGCTTAAAAATAAGCATTTTCTTTTTATTTTAAAATACTTAAGTTATAAGTTTCAGCATGAATTGATAACTGCTGCTCGGGAATGACTACTGTACATTCGAATTTGGAATCTCTCATTGGATATGTAAAACTGCAGAGGTTACCACCCAACATCTGGTGGCACAACATTTCCTACCTCTTAAAACTAGGGCTGTGTTCTTTTCAGCCCAGCTGACATCAGACTCAAGGTCCTAGGATGCTATCCGTGCGATCCATATAATTAGGTTTTGTTTTGGCGCTTGATTGGGTATCCCCAAAGGAAGTGGTATCTGAATCTCTCCCGTTATATTGTAGTTTCCCTTAAAGATAAAATGGCTATCCACCACTGGCCCCAGGCTACTGGGTCTCAAGCTGGATTTATGCAAAGAGCATGCCCGAGATCGGTCTCACCCAGGATAAAAAGTTACCGCCTACCTCATCTGCACTGTCCCCTTGAGGCGTGGTCTCATCTCCCGTCTTCGGGGAGCCCAAGTCAAAGCTCTTCCTGCCATCTCGGACCTTCTTCTGTTTTTTGATGTTACTCTCCGCCTTCCCGCTGTTCAGCCGACGCACGGGGCTTGTCAGCCATTTCTTGAGTGTATTGGTTGACCGCTTTGGGCCCGGAGAGCTTTGGATTGAGTTGAGGGATGGCTGAGGCTGCAAATTGGCCACCGAGTCAGACTTGCCTCCATTTTCATTAGACGAGACCGAATATCCATCTGAAGGAAACAGAAGAAAGCAGATGACCCTATCGCCTGCTGGCTTTCTAGGACCCGCCCCGGTGATTCGGGCACGCTATGTTACAGTGTGTACAGAAAGGCATTAGCAAAACAAAGGATGATAAATTGTTGATGAGAACAACTGCTGAAAGAACAGGACTGACACGTTCAACAATGCATGGCATAGCAGAAGCCACCGGACTGCATACCAGAGAAAGAGGGCTGTATTTAAAACGGCTTATTTTTTAAGAGATGCTAAATACTTCTCATTCCCTTCCCTATTACTTACGGACTCAAGTTGGGTTTCAGCTCAGAGTTTCTCAGGTTTTGCGGCGGGGCACAGAAATCAGGACAGCAACTGAATTACCGCACAGCTCTGACACCCATCAGCACCCCATCAGATGCTAATGCCTACGTATTTCTCACCAGCATCCAGGCTCCTAAGTTACTGTTTGTCAGAGCACTTATTCCACTTCTGTAGGGTACTTCAAATAACCTCACTTGCAATCATCTCCCAGGCCCCTGAAAGCAACTTGTCAAGCAATTTCACACCTTGTCTAGTGCTGATGCACCATAAAAAGGAATAAATAATTAAAAAACATGTTTTAAAATATTCAAACCAAAAAACACCACCCCAGAAAACAGAAAGCCTTCTTAAATTCAGGAGCTAAGGTTTTGCTTGGAATTGACAAAGCCCATGAAATTTAGGAGGGGGGCTACACCGTTATAGTGGTCTGTGCACACACAAGAGAGCTCCAGCTCTACCGCTTTGTCCAAGCAGTGGACAAACCAAAAACGCCAGGCTCAAGAAGTGTAGTGATAACTAACAAACAAAGGATTGCTTAAGTCTCCTTTAGGAATAGTTGGCCTGGACTGATGTTTGTGAGTCTCTAGCAGAGATATGTCCCATTCCCTCGCCAACAAGAACGACTAGTGACTTCAGGTGTTTGATTTCATGGACAGCTAATATTCAGATATGCTGATCAAGTGCCTGTTAAGAGGCATGTAGAAGATGGACACCCAAACACCAGACCTGAAGTCACTAGGAACCTGCATGAATCTTGACCAGCATTTCAAAACCTCTTCCCTCAATGCAAAGTAAAAAGTCTGGTGCCGGCATGTACTAACCATAAACTGGATACCATTAGAAATAATAAGTAACACATGTTGCAGAAGGGCTTTTCATCAAGAGATTGGGCAGCTATGTTTTAAAGGATGCTTAGGTTTTAGAAGTCAACTGAGGTTAATTGCCCTATTTGAAGGTTGAAGGATTGCGTCAAAAGTCCCTACTGACTATAGCGGGATATTTGTTCAAGTAAAGGGCTGAAGAAACCAGCCGTTTTGATTTTTAAAATAATAGACTCAGACTAAATCTCTTTTGGTAGTAATATTTTTCCAACGGATTGCCTCTGTCCCAAGTCAAACCAAAGAACTTATTGCATACACAGGGAAAGCATTAAGTTTAATTCCACATATTTTTCAACATTTAAGTAGTATTAAGTGGACATGGTTAAACTGAAGCTCCTGAAACATTAGGAGTCTTCAAGTACTTCTATTGGAAACAGAAGGAACTACAGGCAGTCCTTGACTTGCAATGTTTCGAGTTACAACGTTTCGCACTTACGACGTTTCTAAATTGACACCCTGTTTCAACTTTCTGACGTCCGTTTTGCCTTTACAACGCTTGATCTGATGTGACGCCACACCAGTGAACAAGTTTGCTGTGTCAGCCATCTCCCTGGAGAACGTCTGTCCAAACTTCCTTGGACACTTTCTTTAAGAAAGCAGATGAGACTCCAGAAAAACCTGCAGTCAAGACTCCTGAGAAGACTCCAGCCAAGAGCCCTTCAAAAAGTCCAGCAAAGTCACCTCAAAGAAGTCCTTCCAAATCAATATGATTGCTATTTACAATATAAATGCATTAATGTAGCTATATTACTCATCTATAATTGATCGAGTACAAAATTCTGCAGTATTTTTGGTGAAAATAGGGTATCGGGCCTTGGGCCAGGAACCAATCCCCCATTTATAACATTGCTTCTTATGGGAAAATTGGTTCCAAGTTACAACGTTTCGACTTAAGACGTGGTTTTCAGGAACCGATTGTGTCATCAGTCCGAGGATTGCCTGTAGTTGAAAGTGGCCAGCTAATTGATTGACCTTTGAAAAGGTACTATTGCCCGGGTATTTTGACCACTACATTTTACCATCTCTCTAAGACCAAAGCATCTGCCATATTTGTAAAAATGGCTGGTTTCAGTCAGTTACTACGGATATCATTTTTAGTTTACGTTGTTCACAGAAATAGTATTAAAGACACACTGGTATGAGATAACCTAGTCACTGAAAATGGCTCCATTTTCTGTGCTGCCTGACAGCATTCAGACACTTGCATTCAGAGCCCTCACCGGTTTCTTTGCAAGCCAAGTTTTATCAGCATACTCTGGGTCAGCAACATTCAAGGTTTTGAGAATGGTAACCTTGCACTTTTGAGCGATATGCGGTGCAAGCTCCCTTCCTCCCTAGCTTAGCTCGCACTTGCTGCACTTTACCGGTGAAATGCAAGCTTTCCACATCTCTTGGCTCAAAGTATTCTTGCTGTTGAAATGCTGTCCTTCGAAACAGAAGAGCTGTCTTCCCAGGCAAGTGTCTTAGCACAGAGCTGTTACCAGAGCAGCAAAAATGGCTTTCATGTACATGAGTGGAAGGCATCGTGCCGACAAACCTACGAGTGGATTGTCCTGGATTTCACGTACAGTACAACTAGAGCATAGAAGTATCTCCTTTTGCAGAGGAACAGAGGTTTCAAAGGTGGCACATTCCCCAAAAGTGGAGGAGGAAGAGAGGAAAACTCAAGTCTTGCAGATCTGTTTTGATTACTGTTTATAGTCAAACATGCACTTTTCACTTTAGTTAGACCACCGGTTCTCAACCTCGTTAGATTATGGCACCCCTCAGAAAATGACAATTCTAACGGAACAATTCTTCTGTTGCAACCCCCCGTCAAAATACCCTCAAAAAGGCCACAGCAGGTCAAAGTCTTTTTAACACTATGAATTTCTATTTGAAATCTCTGGGTTTATTTTGTGAATCATGCACACCCGGCAATGGTAATGTGTGGCACACTGCAGTACCCTTGATAGGGTCTTAAGGCACCCTCGGGTGCTGCAGCAGCCTGGTTGAGAGTCACTGAGTTAGACAATCACAGAATCCAAATGCTCAGGTAACGCCAGCCAAAGAAGTATACACAGAGGCTTGAAACTAGCTCATACCCTCTTGAATTCACTATTGTAAGAAGTTGGCATTAATTCATTAAAGCTCTGATGGGAGGGACCCTAAACGATGAACTAAGAAATGGAACGAGTCATGTCCACTTCTCCTGCAGGGATGCATCACGTTTTACAGGACATTACTGTTCTCATGTAATTCACCCTACAAGTGAGGACATCCTTACAGGACAGACGATTAACATACTCGCAAGATGAGATTAGAAGGAAAAAGGAAAGCTTGTCAGGAAAATATTTCTGGCGAGATACATTATGCTATACTGATCTCCATTACCTCAAAATTTTCCCTTGTTCTTCTCACTTGCAACTCTGACCCTTATTCCCATCTTTTGCATGGCAATTTGCATCATTTTCCATGCACATGTAATCATTAGCCATACTACTGCCACTGCCAAGGCAGGGTACCTATTAGTACCCACCTGTGATGTGCCAAACCAATTCCTGGGTAGAACCAGGCTACTAAACAGCCAGTGGATGGTAACTTTGTTCTTACTGACTGGTGATGTGGTGGGCAAAGATTTTTGAGTGATATCTTTTATTGGACCAACTGCATGGTTGGGAGGAGGTTAGACAAACACCAGATCTGTGATGCGGCTGAAAGTTCACAGAGCACCTAAAGCAGGGGTGGACAAAGTCTGGCCTGCGGGCCGGCAGCAATGTTCCCTCTAAGATGTAGCGATCTGTGAGTGTGCCGCTTCAGTCCGTGAGCATGCTGCTTCGGTTCGTTCTCAAATTGGTCCCGCCTCCCCCTTTCTACACGTGCTGCTTCGGTCCGCCCCGCAGTATAACAACAAAAGATGATACTATAGCTGTTTATTTAAGAAATAACTTTTTCTCCGCATACGTCTACTAAAGACTAAATCCTGCCTCCTCCTCCTCACCAGGCAGCGAGGCACATGGTGTCGCTTTCAAAGGCTGCAGCAAGGCGCCGAGGCAGGGAACAGGCAGAGCATGGAAGACCCATGGGGCTGCCAGGCTTTGGCGCAGGAGCTGTGGGGCTCGTGGCGCAGAGATGAAAGAGGAGATGAGGGTGAAGCCAGCAGGGCTTGGGGTGAATCTCACCCGAAGGGGCTGGGGAGCAGTTACCTGGAGCCAGAGGAGCCTGGCTCTGCCCCAGCCCCAGCCCCAGCCCCGGGGAGGACCTGCTGCCTGCCGCACGATACAGGAAAGGAGGAGGAAGGGGCGGCGGCGATGATCGCTCACTGATCTGTGGCCCGGCCCCTCTGAGCCATGCTATGGAGGTGGTGCTCAAAGTTTCTGGGAAGCCACAGCCCAGCTCCTCTCCAAGAAGGTCCTTGGTGCCGGGGGCTGCTGCCCCCCAGCCACAGCCGGTAGTGGAGCTCCCCCTCCCCAACCCCCATTCCCCGCAAGCCCAGTGATAAAGAAAGAAACTTGTCTGCCTGGCTACGATCCTGGCTGGGAGTGCGCAGGTATCTGCATGCCCGCCCCTCCTGCAGCAGCCTGTGGCCGGGTTGGGTCGTGTGCACGGCATTAAAACATTACTGCGTGGCAAGATTTTTTATTGTGCATGGCCACGCATGTGCGCAGCTTAGAGGGAACTGTGGCCAGCAGTGGACTCCATTTCCCAGCAGCCCCTGCCAATATGGAGACCCTCCATGGAGACCCCAACCGCACCTGTGCTGTGATAGTGCAAGGCTGGGGTTGCCATGGAGACCAGCCCCAGCTGCGCTGGCAGGGTGAGCAGCAGGGCAG